CGAAATGAAGGTCCCTCTAACAATGTTATCTCAGGAGATTCATCGAAACCCAGTTTCTCTTCGTATCAACTATAATTTAAGTTTCGCCACTCAGTATTTACCATTAATCTTTGTAAATGTTAACAATTCCATTCTCTAAGTCCTAGACTTTTGGTTAGTCGTAGCATTGTTAAAGTTAAGCAAATCTTTTTAATATAAGTTGTTTGACCTTGTTTTCGCAACTTGGTCATATTGATAGGAAGGCCTAAAGGAACGCATCTAGTCCGGAGTCCATAGTATGCATGATAATACCAAGAGTCGCACCGTGGACGTGGTACATTCCCAGACGTTTCATCGGCATCCTTAGTGAGCTTTGCCAATCTTAGCAACACTACGAGTGAAACCGATCCTCTGATCAATTGTCTGCTAAACAATTGTGGTATCTCTCCTTCTGCCCTGGGCTATTCACCAATCCTATATCCTCGTATCGCCCCTTCACTATCACAATTTTTTATTTAAATGTCGTATGGTGTTGCCTTTTGAGCGGAGGTCATGAAAACTCTCCACACTCCATGCTGGCTTTCTCACCTCCTCACTCCCCTTCACCCTTCTGCAGGGAATAGTGATCAGACTCTGCTATATTATTCTGCAATCCTCTTCCTATAGGTCTTATCAGAGTCTCGTTCTTGCTCGGTAGAATCCACCTCCTACCCTCCTGGTTCAGGTATTTCACCCTTGTCACCATTTCTGTACTACTCGAGGCGTTACTTCTCACACTGTCTCAAGTCTCTGATGGCACGCATACTCCCGCTTGCTGAGTATGCCCCTAAAAAGCAGGATTCTCAGGCTGGATGGGAGAGTAATTTGGGGCTAAAGAACCGGAGTAATTATAGTGATCAAGCCCTTGCTTCATGTGCCACGTTTGTGATCGAACATGTCTACTGTTAGCCAACTTTGTGGGTTGGCATAGGAAGTTATAGACTTGGCACTATGGATAGAAGCACGATTGATGCGGCGGAGACTAGAGCTAATTGGCTAATAGTAGACGTGTTTTGATCAACAACCTGTCCCATGCCGCTAAGGCTTGACCATTAGAATTACGCCGGCTCTTTAGCCTCAAATTACTCTCCCATTCAGCCTGAGAATCCTGATTTTTAGAGGCATACTCAACAAGAGGGAGTATGCGTGCCATCAGATACTTGAGATATTGTGGAAAATAACGCTTCAAGTAGTACAGAAAGGATGACAGGGGTCGAGTGAAATACCTGAATCAGGAAGGTATGAGATGGATTCTACGGAGTAAAGGGAGTCTCTGATAAGACCTATGGGAAAAGGATTGCAGAATAATATAGCAGAGTCTGATCACCACTCCCTACAGAAGGGTGAAGGGGAGTGACGGGGTGAGAAAGCCAGCATGGAGTATGGAGAGTTTTCATGACCTCCGCCCAAAAGTGAACACCATACGACATTTAAATAAGAAATTGTGATAGTGAAGGGGTGATACGAGGATATAGGATTGGTGAATAGCCCAGGGCAGAAGGAAAGATACCACAATTGTTTAGCAGACAATTGGTCAGAGGATCGGCTTGACTTATCTCTTTGACGATTTGTAGTGTTGCTAATATTGACAAAGATCACTGACGATGCCGGTGAAATGTCTGTCCGGCTCTCGAAATTATCATGCATACTATGGCCTCCAAACTAGATGCGTTCATCTAGGCTTTCCTACCGATATGGGTCAAACAACGAAAAGAGGCTGCGACCATACAAAAGACCTCACCATCATGATGTTCATATCTTCAAGTTTTTTAAACCTATGAATTTTCTCGATAAAACTCTTTCTTACGCTAAGACAATTGTATACTGTCTTTTGTAATTAATATTCACTTACTTTCAGCTGGCTTTGAGCGCGTTTTTCCTTTGACTAATCTGCACCTATTTACACCCGTGGAATTGGGCTGCTTGATCAGCGGTGATGATTATTTAGACGATGAGCAAGATGATTCGTTAGAGGTACAAGAACATATCCTAGATAGACCGTCTGATCTACGGTTATCAAAACATGCCTGCGGATCATTCAATTCTACAAGCTTAGAGAAGAACACAGCAAGCACCTCTGGGGGATACTGGGAGCAAAGTAAGGTAAGTAGGCCGATTACAAAAAGAAAAACTATGCGAAACCGTTATTGGAGCATTGAGGAACTTACAGCAGCTTGTGAGCCTGCTGCCGGGATGACACGCTCCAGTTCCACCTACTGTCATTTGATACATGTGCTGGCAGGCCTCGCACCTAGTGAGCGTCGAGAGTTCGTTCAGTTTGTTACTGGGTGTCCTAATTTGCCCCCCGGTGGATTAAGGAATCTTTATCCATGCTTAAAGGTAAGCAACTTTTTTGTAGGCAAATACCTCTTTCTGTTACTTTAGTTTGAGCTCGTATGCCGTCATACGCATTGTAATTTTTCTGGCTTTTAAACCACGATCGCTTTAACGATTCATTAATTCTAAGGCGATCAAATGTTTACATTATGGCCTCACTACTATGAACGTTTTACAAACATTTTTTGCTTGCTAGACGGCTACCATAATGCTAAGTAAACTTGAAAAATTGAAATCTACTCTAGGTATTTTACGTTCAAAAAGCAAAGATCACAAATTTGCTTATATTAAAACATTTAATGACGCCCTGCAGGATTTCTTGGCGTCAAATTAACCAACTTATTTGCTCCCGTTGCTTGAGTAGTATATTATTAAAATTGTAACGTTAGGCATAAAATCATAGCTAGTAATGAATTCTGTAATTATTTTTTGGATGGCATTATCACAATCTAGTCCATATTTCT